GGGGCCTGGGGCTCGACTGGGGCTTTGTCCCCTTCCCTTCCCCCAGGCGCGGCTGAAGGGGTGAGGACAACGCCTCTGGGTCGCTTGTCCACGCGTGCCACGGAAAAAAATGCAGAACGGGAGCTGCTGGTAGGCCCTGGCCAAACCCTGTCCTTGCTCAGGGGCGGCTGATGGTGTTGCCAAGCTTTATTTCTCCATGCGATTAGTTTTTTTTCTCTAATGTATGGTCACTGTGCTTAATCTCTGTCTGTAGAGATAAGTACCGCTACTTTGCCTGCCTCCTGAGAGAGCGATTTGATAAGAACAAGGATGTGAAGGACATGGTGAAAGCAACAGAGCTGCTGAAGGCAGGCGAGGAGGAGTTCTGGGTGAACCAGCATCCCCAGCCTTACATCTTCCCTGACTCCCCTGGGGGCACTTCCTATGAGAGATACGAGTGCTACAAGGTAAAGTGGCCCGTGAGGTTGCGCCTGACTGTGCTTACCCTCCTGTTCTTTTAGTGAATGTAAAGTGAGTGCTGGAAGTGGACTTTCATAGGGCTGCAGCTTGACTCAGCAGTATTGTTTCTCTAAAGGTTCATTGCTGCTGAACGTCTTACTGCATGCATGGGAGAAGCTGTGCTGCTTGTCTGATCCTTGAAAATGGAGTTTGCCGGTCTGTCTGGTGACAGTTAGCTTCTTTTTGCTGGGATAATCATTAGCGCTTTCACCAAATGGAAGCTGCTCCACAATGGATCAGGCAGGCCCGGTGAAAGGGTTGGAGCTGCGCTGTGAGAGCAAACAAGGTAGAGGAAGCTGTGCTACCCTTCGTGGTGCCATCTGGTCACAGCCTTGGTTTCTCTGTGGTCTGGTCAGATGTTGGCTTGGCTGCTGAGGGACTTCACTCAGTCCCATCGTTCGTCCAGCATTTTGAGTAATGGTACAAATTATCGTTTCCCTTCATATGCTGTAGTGCCATATGTATTTGTGCATCATGTTGTGATAGGTGGTGTGCCTAAAAAGAGAAGCAGTATTCTTGGAATCTTAACGCACTAGTAGAGGCTCTTTTTCCCCCTAGGTTGTTCTGTTTAGGAGTAAAGAAACAGGTTTTGTAGAAAAACACAGGGTTTTTGCTTTCTTGGCGTTGGCTCCTAATGCATTACAAGAAGTTAATAGTAACCTAGAGAGTGCGTGCACCTGCTTTCTCCTGAATTTGAAGAAAGTGCTGACACAGTACTAGATCAGATCTTTATGCACAAGAAGCCATGTGAAAGGAAGAATCTCACATAAGATTTATCAGGGGCAGAAAAAAGAACATATGAGTGAAAAGGGATGAGGACTTAAGCTTATGCCAAGGTTGTGGGGCTTAGCAGTAGTAGAGAGAATAGTGAGAGAATCCAGACAGAAAAAAGGCCAGTTGAGAAATAAGTGGTCAAGATTGGTCTTTGCATAGAAACAGAAACTGGTTTATGTTCTTTTCTTTGCCCTGTTTGACATGCTAAAATTGTCCTTCAACAAAATGTCTGTCACAAGGATTTGGCTTGTTGATGTATCAGTGACTGTCCATCGTGGATGTTGCTACAAAATGTGGTTCTTACATCTCAGCCTGTTTGGTGGTTTTAGTTGATGTTTGATTTGTGTGGATTTTTTTTTAATTTATTTTTAGCAGCTCTGATTCTATTCAGCAAAAAGTTTACTTGGGGATGAGAATCACAGGAATAAACTGGAAGTGTAACTGTCACTGGATGAATGATGGTATTGGAGCATCTTACTAATTTTCTTTTTTAAGAACTGTTTTGGGGGTTTTTTTTGGTGGGCTGTTTTGTTTAATGTTGCTGTCTTTAAAATGTTATCATTAAGTGATACACTGCTGTAGAATTCTAAATTTTGCTTTTTTTTTTTGACTGGGCATCTTAGAGGTCAGACCATTATCAAGATCTTAAAGGCTGCTTATGTTTTCACTAGTTGTAGACAAACGGAAATGAGCTGTCAGGTTCTCTTTCTGTCAAAGAAAATGAATTTGTCGTTGAAGGAAAGGATCTCTCTAAGGTGCTGCCTGTGGGAGAAGGAGGGAAGAAATGAGATCTTCTCTTCCACCACATGGAATCATTTCATGAGTGAACTGAGATGACCTGGGACTTATCTTTGGGATGCTGTGATTTAAGCAAGTCACTATGATGTCTTCTATGACTTGGGACAATGTGTACAATGAAGATTAAAAGCACTGATCTCTGCCATATAGTGCCTTGAGACTAACAATAGTCAGGTAGCTCTTAAATGGTATTTTTATGTAGTACTTTTATTCCCTGGGTTATTTATAATTTTAATACTGGCTTTTAATTAAGTTCTTTTGTATGTGTGTAATATCTATAACTGCATGTATAAAAATAATTTAGATAAATTATATTTTTCTGTAACAGATTCCTGAATGGTGCTTGGATTACTGGCATCCTTCTGAGAAGGCGATGTATCCTGATTACTTTGCCAAACGAGAGCAATGGAAGAAGCTGCAGCGGGAAAGCTGGGATAAAGAGGTGAGTGCTTACTCGATGCAAAGCGAAGCCTCTTTAGCATGCGAGTGTTTTGTGTGACCTTTAGAGGTGTTCTTAGAAAATATTTGAATGCCTACTGCGGTCTCAGTTAGACTCTTTTATTAGAACTATTGTTAGCATGAAGCACTGGCTTGACCTAAGACACCTACACGGAGATCTGAGTGACAGCTTAAAAGCTGTGAAGGGAATTTAAAGTTAAAGCTGAACCTGCAGCTGTGGTTCTGTTAATGCAGGGCTGCCGTGGCAGCTTTGCTAAAGGAGATTCCAAAGTCGGATGAGCAGAGATTAATGACCAGATAATTCCTCTTCTGAGTTGTGAAGCTCTGAACACTTTCTGGTTGCACCTTTGAAAGTGAATTACCACGGTGTTCATCAGCTGGGAATCGAGACTAATTCCTGGCCATCCTGAACTGAGATTCAGTGGGAAGAGGTTGGTGTTCCTAGAATAGTTCTTTAATCCAGTTGAAGAGAAATAGTTGGATTGTATGTAGTAGGGCAGTCGTGTCAGAATTAACGTAGTGGCAGCCAGCACTTGCGCTGCCTCAAGAAACATGTACTGGGAACATCTAAAGGGCTGCTGGTGGCACGCGGAAACAGAGGTCTCCTACGGGCTGGAATGGGAGTTGTGTAGGACTTGCAGTTGTCTGGCAGGTTTCAAAGCAGCAGGAGAATGCCGTCTGTTTAGCAATTGTAGACATGAATTACGTGGAAATAATCACCTTTTAAGTAAAAAATTCTCCTGTAAAGCACTTTTTACTCCTAAAAAAAATCCTTCTTAATTAGGTAATAAGAGCCTGCAGTAATTACTGAGTTTAAGTGAATACTGAGAAACATGAAGCCTGGCTCTCAACCGAAGGCGTTACTGCTGGTTCTTCTGCTCTGAAATGGGGGCCCGTTTTGTTTACACGTTATGGAAATGTGCATTTATGTACTAAAGGAATTGTATGTCTTGTCTTCTAGATTAAGCAGCTAGAAGAAGAAACTCCAGCTGATGGCCCCAAAACGGAAGCTTTGCCTCCAGCCCGCAAGGAGGGCCACCTGCCCCCGCTGTGGTGGCAGTACGTTACCCGACCTCGTGAAATCCCCATGTAAAAGCGTTATTTCACATCAGAATTGAAGCGGTCTGTCTCCTGGGGGCAGCAGACATGTCAGTGATTGCATGCTACTCTAAGTAATACAAAATAAAGCCAAATGAAGTAAAATAGAAGGCATTTTTCTGACATACCGTTCTTCTACTATAGCGTGCACAGGCTTGACTTCCAGTTTGCACAGTGTAGAATAGATGGCTGATAGCATCTACACTATAGACCTGCAACGTCGGAGGACGCTGCCCAGCCTGTGGGGAGTTAATGGGATGCTCACACCAGAGCAAGCTTGAAAGGTGAACCTACATTGCAGCTCTCACAGTAAGAGTTAGAAAACTCAGCTAGGAGACTGAAAAAAATGGCCACGTCAAACTTGTGTTCCCTGAGGAGGAGTGTGAGCTTAAAGGTGGGAGGAGAAGCCGGTTTGCTGGGGGACTGGATCAAACCATAAGCAGCTAAACTGTGAGTAACACTGGGTGGCCAGAGCCTGACTCCCGCCGTGGAGAAGTGGGGAGGGAGGGGGGCCTGGAGGCAGTGGATGAGAGTTAATAAACAACAACAGCAGCCTGATAACTTGGAATGTGGAACTAAATACTGGAAAGGTGTTGAAGCTGGAGTTTCAAGCTAGTAACAGGAGCAACCGTGGGCTTTGGTTGCTCCTGGCACGAGGGTATTTCTAACCTTGCTTAGGGGTAAGGACTTCTTGCCCTCCCTCCTCATCTTGCTAAGGCTGTATCTTTCACTTAGGGATCAAATCTCACGAGACGTAAACCTTCCTGACATTCCATGCTTTCTTGGTGCTGTGGGTGATCATAGAATCATTAAGGTTGGAAAAGACCTCTAAGATCATCAAGCCCAACTGTCAACCCAACACCACCATGACTGCTAAACCATGTCCTGAAAAGCCACATCTACACATTTTTTTTTTAAACACCTCCAGGGATGGGGACTCCACCACCTCCCTGGGCAGCCTGTTCCAGTGTCTGGCCCCCCCTC